CATTAGAAATCGTCTTTGCAGATACGAATGTGACCACAGACAGCCCAAACAAGGTTCCTGTGTATGGTTTAAAAGGGAATGTATGGGAGTTATGATAAATAAATATTTAGGTAGAGAAGAGCGGATTTTGAAAAAACCCACTAAACGGCCTCAAATCGCACTGAAACTTCGCCAGAAGACTGAACAAAGTAAAAGTAATAACTGCAGCAAGTTTTGAGGCAAATTGTCGAGTGAAACATATTTTCGTAACTTTATCATAACTCCCATACATTCCCTTATAAACCATACACAGGAACCTTGTTTGGGCTGCCTGTGATGTGACATGTAAAGGTGTGACGCGGTAGTATCAGAGGCCACAATCAGAGGGTCATTTATTGACATTTCCCCCCCTCATTTTTCTCGGCAATATCGCGATATTTCGAAAAACGATGTATACCACGATTTGTTTTGACTATAGGTCTACCTTACACTAGAATATGAGCGAAATCGATTTTTTGGCTGTTGCTGGCAAATTTCAATTTTGTTTGATTTTTGCTGACATCTTCTCTTTTAAATACCTAAGGACTGTAAGGAAAATAGACTCTGTTAGCAGGGAAGGTAGCTCAGTTGAGAATAGTTTAACAATCATAATACGCTGCCTGCTTAAAAAATAAGAGTCACACAGAAAATAGCGAGTCGCTGAGTTTTTGCTAAATCTAAAATGCGTCATTTTTAAAACAGTAATGGATAAGAGAGTTGCAAATCTTTGCTTAAGACTTCACTCAAAATTGCTTTATCGTTTATGAATTTCTATCAGTCATAAATATATTTGTAAATAAATGTACATTTTAATTAAAAGAACACTTTTATTAGTAACTAGTCACTGGAACTACCAGATCCCAAGGTCAAAATGCATGCATTTACAAAATTTATATATGTGTTTATCATTATTCTTACAGTGCAGGTACTCGAACTATGAATACTTCGAGGTTATTTTATATTTTTTATTTAGTATAGGCGCCATTCAATTTATTATAACAAACGGCGGTGAAATCATTACAGTAGATGTTTTATTTTTAGCTTACTCGTGTGAACTAATAAACTGCTAAATCACGTAAATGTGATAGTATACAAAACTGGGACACAAAGTGCAAACATCCAATAATTCACAGAAATGCAAAACTTTCTTTCATTGACAAAGTAGTTCATATCACAGGTAGCCCAAGCTTGGTTTCTGTGGTGTCATGTTGTAAGGAAATGTATGGGGATTCATCAAAAATTTCGTGAAAAAACGTGAAATAAAGCCTCGAAATTTTACCCTATCATTGAGAAATAGCACTTCTTTCGCTCTGTGTGGTTATTTTTTGAATTTAGGCCGTTTTAAGGATTTTTTCCCCACCAGTATTTATTTCTTACTGGTGGGGGAAAAAATCCTTAAAACGGCCTAAATTCAAAAAATAACCACACAGAGCGAAAGAAGTGCTATTTCTCAGTGATCGGGTAAAATTTCGAGGCTTTATTTCACGTTTCAATGATTTTATTGAAATTTTTGATGAATCCCCATACATTTTCTTACAACATGACACCACAGAAACCAAGCTTGGGCTACCTGTGCTCATATTCAAAATAATTAATACACTTTGTATTAAAAAATATATAATAACGAAATAAAAGTCTGAATAAATTTCTTTGTACCTCATGTTTATTTGTAGTAGTAAGTCTTTAGAACCAAAACATTTAAATAAATAAGGATCAGAATTGACTTTTAAATTGAATTTTAAAAATCGTACTGTATGTGTCAGGCGTCATCATTGTGAAGTTCGCTTGGAAATGAAGTATGTAGTGACACTTTAGCACATGAATAATTGGGTAGTTTACCCATTAGTACTGATGATCAATCACAAAGAATACTGAATTGAATACGTGAATCAAAGCATGGCTAATTAATCAAAATAATCCACTGGCCATGACATTTGAAAATTGGCATATGAATTCAGCCCGATTGAGAAGTCCTTGTTTACGAGTAAATTAATATTTCTAGTTCGGCTGTCTTGAATTACAGCAGGCAACAAGATAGAGCATGCGCAGACATTGATTTCTATCGAGTAATAAACTAGCTCCGCCCTCTCTTGATCACTTGAAAACATGGTGACATTAAGTTAAACACTGTACATGATAATTGTTGGACTTTGCACGGGAACCCTATAGCAGAGGCCCGCAAGGGTCTCTTGAGTAACGTCCTGAAGAGCTCTGGGTAGCTATTGCGCAACTTTTCCATTTTGTAAGGGAGGAGTCGGACGGAAAAAGAAAGGTATTTTAAGACTGGGCTATCAAAGGTATCGCATTTATATATGATAACTCTGATGAAGACAGGCGAGTGACTTCGCTTCAAAATAAAATAAAGATAAAGAAACAATAAAAGGAATAACTTAGGGAATAATAATACCTAAATTCGATTACTATTAACTTTCGCAATTAAAACAATTATAGGTTCTCGTACTGCRATATTGACCTACTGCCGCCAAAAAAGAGCAAGAGAAAACGTGACCACGTATCCAAATATGGAATCTGATTTGAAACCTCCTCTCATCCG